TGAGCTCTCTAGATTTCCTTTAGAATCAAGTTTTTAGTCCTCCTAGCTAGAACTGTTATTTAAATTAACTGTGTGTTCTTTCAAACTATGCAGTAATTTGCTTGTGTGCTTAATGATTAGCTTCTCTCAGCGCTTCTGGTCTCATCACAAAGTGAAAATATACCTGCTGGAGAATATTATCTATTTCCTGCCTTTTCTTGTCTGTCTGACGTGGTCCAAGCAGAGACACCTTTAGATACCTTTGAATAAAAACTAGCTATACTTCTGGCGTAAGACAATTCCACTTTTTTTTTTTTTAGCTTATCTGCATAGACAGTCGTGCAACCTAATAGAACAAATATAATGTTATGCAAGTTTTTTCAGATTCTCTTTATTAAGCTTGTCCAACATCATTCTACCAAGGAATAAATTTACTTTCTGAAATATGCTTCAATAATGTTTCAAGATTGATATTACTCAATGTACATGCCCGCTCCCTCAATATCTTTCTGAATATTGATTTTGAATCTTAACTGATGTTACAACTACAACTTGCATATTTACTGCCAACACACATAGGAGTGAAAAATTCTGCTTGAACTGGTGAGATGCTGCTCACACCAATGTATGGTACTCTGACGTCATAGAATTCTGTATTTTACTCAGTGCTTGTGCGGAAAGGGTTCCACTTGATTAGCATCAAGTGATTTTCAGGCTCAGGTTTTGCTCTGAGCGTGGCATGAGAAATGTGCATGAATAGAGCTCCTTTAGCTGTGGAACAGCCATATCACAGTTGTTTGCATGGTATATTTCTATAACCATAAAATTTTTAAATGTGACTGTTGGCTCTATAGTTGAATAAATTTGGAGGTGTGTTAATGATGACTTTATAGGAGTCAACAGTAAAAAGAATAGCCCTCCATTTCCCCTTACAACTCTCTTGTAAACATTTCATGCCACTTGGTGAATGAAACCAAATGCCTCCTATCAGTTGCATGCATTCACTTCACCCATCTTCACAGCAGCTAACCTGGAAGCCAGGTGCTCTGTGGCCACTGGAGGGCAATCATACTCCTCCTGGCCCATCCTGGTCACAGTGTGATGGGCGAGACAGACCAAATGGTCACCCAGAGAAAGACCAGTGTTTCTGAATTTGTAGGTCATTTTAGAATGAAAACTTTCTATTAACAAATATTACGTCAATTGTTAAGTATATTTCAAAAAATGGTTAGTGCCTCCAAACTATTTAATGGCTATTTCCCTTTTTAACATCATGTTTTTGAAGCTTATCTGCCCAGCACATTCATTGTACAGTTATTTTCTCATTAGTACTTACCAAAAATCAAACAAGTGTCCCTCAGAATGCACTGAGTTGATATATTGCTAGCAACCCCCATCCCCACCCCACCCTCCAAAAGGAAAGATTTTATTTCATTTTTTTCTTAGGTGGTGTATCATGATGGTGGACACATATATAATTTCCAGTATTTTAAAATACTTAAAATCTGCCCTAACAAGTTTGGCTCAGTGGATAGAGTGTCGGCCTGAGGACTGAAGGGTCCCAGGTTCGATTCCGGTCAAGGGCATGTACCTTGGTTGCGGGCACATCCCCAGTAGGGAGTGTGCAAGAGGCAGCCAAATTGATGTTTCTCTCTCATCGATGTTTCTAACTCTCTATTCCTCTCCCTCTCCCTTCCTCTCTTCCTCTCTGTAAAAAAATCAATAATATATTTAAAAAATAAAATACTTAAAATCTCCATTGGTGACTCGGTGGCCTTCACTGATGTCATCTAACTCTCTCATTTATGACTATACTAGTCATACTTTGTTTTTCTGTTGACTTGCCAGCCTGTAGTTAAATGGAGCTAGTGAGCCCTTTTCTGAACATCTATGTCAGTGTTGTGTGGAGGATAGGAATTGAATTGGAGAAGGAGAGAAATGTATGGCCTTCATAAAGACTCAGGGTGCTTTTATGCTTAACTCCGGTGGTAAACAGGCATGGAGTGTTGGTTGTATCTGATGACTGTGTTAGTGGATGTCCTAATGGCTGTAGGATGACAGTCTTTGGGAGTGGCAGGGAGAAGAGCAGAGCGGCTCAGCTGGAGCCCAGGCAGGCCAGTTCTGCAGGCCCTTCAAAGCCCGGGGCCTCCCCACACCTCCACCTACCCTCTTCCCCACGTGTTCATATACCAGTCACAGCTGTCATCTTTTTCCCCCTCAACTGAGGTAAAATGACAAGTTTTGCTGGTTGGAAACCACTTAACACTAACATGGGGGTGCTTGGGTACTCAGATGAGTCAGAGAGCATGGCATAGAGCCTCTTTGGCAACAATTTCAGTTCCCCCAGGGAAAGAAAATACCTTAGATTGTTCATGATGAAATGATATAGGCTATGGTTCAGTCATAAGTGAGAACATGGGATTTACATGAACTTTAACAAAAGATCTCCACCATTGGGTTTCCTTAAGCCCAGACTGGACTTTTCTCCTGGACCATGTGGGCCACTCTGTCTCTTATTTAACTAAGGAGGCAAAATTGCTTCGTAAAAACTAACAAAATTGTTCATGGCAGTTACCGATTTGTGATGAAGTTATTGGTTTTATTTTCTTTTCTGGAAGTCTTTACAAGTTTGTTACAATGAACATGAATTGCTTTTTAGTCAAGAAAAAAATCATTTATAATAAAACTTGCAAAAGTTCATGTACAAAAATCCTATATATATCTTTGCCATAGCAAGATAATTTTATTCAGTATGTTCTGACTGACTGGACCTGATATTATAATAATGAGCTCTTCTATTTGTATAGTTCCTTACACAGATTTTCTCATGTGGGACATATACTTAACTTAATAATGGTAATGGGATAGATAATAATATTTCAAAATGAGGAAATGGTGGGGTAGATATTTTATCTTGTTGGCCAAGAATTATGTAATTAAAAAATAGCAGAAATAGAGCAATAATTCTTTTTTTT